ATATAAAAAAGAATAGTATATTAAGTATTTTATATTCTTTTTAAAAAACGGCGTATAAAGTAAAATATAGATTTAAGGTGCTCAGTATTAGGAGGGGGGGCGCTACGGCTAAGTAAAAATCGAGGTAATATAGTAAGTTAAAAAGAGTTAGTTTTATTAAAAAAAACGGCGCTTAAGGTAGAGTCTTAATTCAATTCTAAGGTAATAAAGCTAATAATAAGATAATAATCGTATTTTTTATAATAGCTTAGTTAATAAGTCGCTAATTAAATCACTATATAATTAAGGATCGCTAACTTTATAAAATTAACCGATATTAGGATAGCTATTAATTAAAAAAAGAGATAATAGTATATTTATACGTTAACGTTTTAAAGGATATATTATATTACTAAGGCTATATTTTATAGCTCGGCGGCGTAAATTACGCCGGGGTTTAGTTATTAAAGATAATATACGTTAATACTAAATATAAAGATTACGATAGTAAAGGAAATTTAGAATAAAGAGAATATATAGAAGTAGATTAGTAGAATCTAAATATATTAATAATAAAATTTTAAGCTAATTAGGATGGTAAATATGTATGCCGCTATAAGGTGTATGCCTCTGTATTAATTCTGCATGCCTCTATATCAATTCCTTATTTAAATTATAAAATTTATAATAAACGACTAGGAATTAAGTAATTAAGTTAGAGTAATTATTTATAATAATATTTTAAATAACGATACTTATTTAAATTACTTATATTTTATATTATTTTATATTTATATTTAAAAAACGTTCTTAACTAAAGGATTAAATACTACGGTTATATTTTTAATTTTATCGATAAAGCCTTTTTATTTAATAATAATAAAAAAATATTTAAATAAAAATTAAATATATTAATTAATATTAAATAACTTTAAAAAAATCCTTAATTTTTAGCGTATTAAAAGCCCTATTAATAAACTTTAGAATATTATTAAATTTATTTATTTATCGCTTTAATAATATAAAGCCTTTTTTAAAATTAATAATAGAATTAATAAAAACGATATATTTACTCTCTTTAAAAAATCGTCGTAAAAGCTTATATTAACGCTTAATAATAATATAAAATAGAATTTAACATACTTTATAATATAACGCTTTTTATAAAAAAAAATCTATACTTTTTTAATAATTAATCGAGCTTATAAAAATTTAAAATAACGGATCCTTATTAACAACGTTTTTAATAATAACGATTAATAATTATTAACTAAACTAAAAGCGATATTTAAACTACTTTACTTTTAAATAATAAAATATTAAAATTTAAATAAAAAAGACGGCTATAGCCGTTTATAAAAAATAATAATAAGTTTTAAATATTTTATTAACCGTTTTAAAAAATAAAAAAAGTTATATAATAAACCTTTTAAAAAAAAATATATTTTACGGCTTTTTAAATCGTAACGTCGTAATTATAATTAACGTAAATAATATTATTTTGTTAGCGGTTAACTTATTATTAATTTATATTTTAACTTTTTTTTTAATTTTTAATATTAAATAATATCCCTCGTTTTATTTAATTTAAATATATACTTAAGGAATAAACAGATCTACTTTTTAATAATAATTTTAACTTATAAAAATATTTCTAACTATTAATTATTAGTATTTAGTAAATTCTTAATAAATATTATATTAAATTAAATAACTTTCCGCTTTACGCTATAGTAATTATTCTTTACTTTAAGTAAAAATTAAAATAATTAAAAAAAAAATATATTTAAATAAAGTTATTAACTATTTAATATAAAAAAAAAGCTTTATAATTATTAATAAAAATAATATATAAATAAAATAATAAATCCTTCTCCTCTTCCTTCGTTACGATAGTTATAAATTATTTTTATTACTTTTATAATTTTAAAAAATATTATAAAAAACTCGTAGTATCGATAATAATTAATATTTTAAATAATAAAAATAATAATTAACTACGCGCCTAAGCTTAATTAATATTATTTATAAATTATCTTTTAACTGGTCTTTAATTTAATTTAATAATAAATTAATTATCGGCTAACCTATTTAACTTTAAATAAACTTATATTTAATATTTTTATAATCCTTATAATAATAATAAATTATAAAAAGATATTTAACCTTGTAAAGTTAATTTTAACTTTATAACGATTATTAATAAGGTCCTTTACGCTAAAAAAAGTTTAATATTTTAAAAACTAACTTCGCGGCGGTATTATAAAAATAAGAAGTTAATTCTTTAATTAAAAAAGCTAATTAAAGTAAAATCTATAAGTTAATATTATAAGGATTTTCGTAATAACTTTATTTATTCCCAATTAGGAAATTAGTTAAATTTATTAATTATTTATTAAATAATTAAATATAGCGCGAGAAATAAGGCAAATAATTAAATACGAACCTTATATTTGATTTGTTTGTTTGGGTATAAGCGCTGACCAGGGCATGAGCATAATATATCCCCCTTCACGGTTTGCAACACTGCTAAATTCTTGAATCAGAGGACCTGTTCTTCCATGCACAAGCCTCCATGGCTGTCTGCAAACAACCTCGTCACAAAATTGTCCACAATTGATCTGCTCTCTAATGTCAATTTTCCGTCATTTTTGTTACTGACGGTTGTGTTCCTTGCCTACACAATAGAATGCATGATTTCAGGTGTAAAGCCATATGGCAAATCGTTCAGGAGGACTTGATAGTTCAGGCGACTCTCAAAGATTGTTTGCTGAGGCAGGCACAAAATGATGCATCCCGTGCAAGCAAGCTGACCTTCACGCACCTCGGCAAGATAACCTCTGTGCCATTGCAAAGGCCGCACCACTTCGGGGCATGGATCCTTGAAGGGCGAGAACGATGGAGATAAGGAAATGCATGAGGGCAAAAGGCGGAAATGAGAAAACACACCAATCAAAACAGATTTCATCTCACCATTAAAAGGAGAACACCTGCATGCGGCTTGATAAAAAAAATTGGCCATTTTCCAAGTTGCGCAGGAGGTTACCGCTGATCAGGTGAGGGCGGATAAGAACACGAAGAGAAAGTGGGGACAGTCTGGAAGAGAAGCATATACAGCTAGAAACAAGGAGCAGTCATTTCAAACTTGATATCGGAAAAAAAAAATAAGTTCAACGTATCCAGCAAGTCATTATTGGTATCAACCCGTGCAAGCCTTGCTGTCATCGGCTGTGGTCAATGGGGTGTCAATCTTATCCGAGTGTTTGCCGACTTGACTTGAGAACACTGAGTGCTGTCACAGATATCATTCCATCCGGGAAAGATGATGCTGTGGAATTCCTCCCGGTCTACCCGTGGGTGTACTAATTCAATCTGCAAATGGATCAATATTTCAGCTGATCCGTCCATCACCGCAGTGGTACTTGCAACACCGGCGGTTTATCATGTAAACATGGCTGTAAAAGCTTTGGCTGCTGGGAAGCACGTCTTCATCGAAAAGCCTTTGGCTTTTACTGTTTCAGACAGCAAGCTTGTGTGGACAGCGGCTCTTGAAGCAAATAAGATGTTCATGGTTGGACACAGCTTCCGCTATCATCCCGCTTTTTGGTAGCTCAAGCATCTCACCAATGTGGGAACCTTGGGAAGGATTCTGCATATTCATTCACGTCGACTGGGATTTGGGCGCATTTGACATGATGGAAACATCTTCTGGAATCTTGGTCCCCATGATATGTCCATGATTCTGGGTCTCTTCGACAATGTACAGGTCGCAATCGTTCAGACGCACGAAGAAAGTTTGATACGCCCGACACCGCTATTCTGGACTTGGTCAATGCCAATTTCAAGCTCTGCAATGGTGTGAATGCAGATGTTCACGTGTCATGATTGAGCCCTCAGGAGGAACGGAAGTTGATTGCCGCCGGAGAAGAAGAAACTGCTGTTTTCGACGACATCGAGCCATGGGAATCGAAGCTCCGCAAATTCAAGAACAAAATCGAGGTCTTCATTAATGCGGTCCATCTTTTTCTTGCTATACTTTCTTTTGCCCGTATGCTTTGGCAGCGCATCCTCTAGTGACCACAGCGCGCCTACCTTCATTAATCCAATCCAACGTATCTCGCTTGTGTCCAGATCCATCTACATCCCCACGCCCCGCTGCTATCCACAACGAAGAACAGTGCATAAATCATAAATCTCTCCGCTGGCATCAACCAATCCGATATGGTGTAGTGGCCAACATGATGCCCTCTCATCTGCCAGATTGGTAACTGAGAGGATAGGCATAGCCCCGAGTTCGATTCTCGGTTTCGGAAAGGAAATTTCCCTTATTTTTACCTTTCCGGCCTTTCCAGCAAAGGCCCATTTTTGTCTCCTTTTTCTGAGTGCTTTTGTTTTCTTTTTTTTTCTTTCTTCTCACCTAGCTGAAGGCATTCATTGAAGTTGACCTATGATGCCGGCATCTCTGGAAAAGAATGCTCAGAGTCTCTAGCTTCTTTGAGACACGCAGTTTATACACTGCAAATAACTACAAGAAGCTTGCTACTATGAGAGGAAGTCAAGTCTGAAGGAATTAAGAGACTGATTTTTTCTTTTCCAATCCTCCCGGATCGAGACCCACATGGCGAAGGTGGGGTTTGGTCTATCATTCTTTGGATATACAAGTGAGCACCAGCAAAAATGAGCTTGGGCATGATAGCTCACAGATGGCAACTTTTTTTTTTCTTTCGGTCTACTAATGAAGATTCGCCATGCTGCAAGACGATACTTATATAAGCGTAATCAGGTACGGCAGGCACGTCAGTGGTTCTATATCCGTTTTGAGCCTACCACAATTGGAATTTTAGGCTGCCGCACCGCTGCCTATAGCTTCCCTAAATACAGCTAGCTTCTGGGAGTAGGAGTGAGCGATACGTCATTTTTTTCCAATAAAAGGGCCAATCCACCCCCTATCTACGTCCCAATCGAGCCTCTCTCCCAACCTTGACTTCAACATCTCAATTCTTGCCAATGCTCTATCAGGCATGGAACTCAAGGACACCCCCAACGAGATCCTTAACCTTATCATTGGCCACTTGGTCGAACTGATTGACCTCAGCCATGCCGATGATACTCGGGAAATCCATAGGGACCTTCTCTCCGCCCGCCTCGTTTGCCGACAATGGAACTCCCTAGCAACTGGGCACCTGTATCATACCCTAAAGCTAGCTCCTGCAGGAACCGTCGACGATAACGAGGATGTATTCAAAGACTGGAATACGATTCTCGATCTCGACGCCGCCCGGAATGCTGCCCAACGCGTCATCATCCAGAGCTGTCCTGGGGAACTATCGACGAACATGGATTACGGGGACTGGAAAGGGTGGAAAGACGGAGAACACCCTGCCTTTACTTCGGCCATTCGTCGCATCACACAGCTGCCCAACGTCAAAGCTATCGAAGTGCACTTCAGCAAGAATTGCAAGGGCCAAATTGGAGGCTGGGACGACGACTTTGAGCCCACCGAGACCCGCCTACTAACACTCAAGGCAGTCTTCGAAGCCATTCGGGAACGTGCGGCGCACTCCGACGCTGGATTCAGGTGCCCCATTCGATCGTTGACGATTCGAAATCTTCAAAACATGCCGCATCAAGAATTCATCGACTCTATTCTTTTCAAAGACGTTGCCAAGAAGGTCGACGGCCTACACCTTTTAATCACAGAGGAGCACAACGAAGACGGTCCCGACCATGACTTCTTCGTCCACGAGCGCCTAGTGTACGAAAGCCACTTGCAGACACAAATTCTTCCCCACTTCGAGGCCAACCTCACTGCCTTGACCTTGAGTTTCCAAGATCCTTGGGGCACCATGCCGGGATATTTTGACGGAGCAGGCCTGAGGTTTCGTTATCTCAAGACCCTGAACCTGGCCAACTTCGTCATCAGTAACAACTACCATTTCGACTGGGTTCTCTCACAGACCGCGTTGACAACTCTGCGTTTGGACAGCTGTTTTATTCTTTCCTACATCCGCACTAACACCACATACACCAAGAAATGGAGTCTCCACACTCAAGACTGGCATCATTTGCCCATCGGCTCGTACGACTTCTCTGACGACGATGACGACCTGTACAGCTTCGATGGCACATGGGAGACTATCTTTGACAGTATTTGCGACAACCTCCTCTATCTCCAAGACTTTCGCTTTGAGGAAACTGGCAATGGACTTAACTTCCTCCGTCCGTCGAGAATTGGGACCGTGCTGTATCCGAATCGATACACTACTTTCGACATAGGACTCCTTCCTAGTCCTTGGATTGAGTCAGATAGGGTCACTGGTGAGATGGAGTTTGGGGACAATGATCCGAGCGTCGCTGAGGAAGGCAATGATGATCGGGTCAGAAGTAACCTGAACCGCTCCGAAGAGACGAAGCAGGGCGACACCAGGGCATTCAGAGATCTTCTCCAAGCTTGCCGTGAAAATGCTGATTAGGGTTGACATGTCGGCAGGGCCGTGCGCGCTTACAGCTGGACGTATTGCGCGAGGAATAGGAGATAGACAGACATGCATAACTGAAATGAATCGAAGAATTGAGACTAATCCCGGTCCATAGTGGGTACATAAGTTTGCCAACATGTGAACGTTGAACTTCCCTTTCGGCCTATGCAGGGATGCAAAGACCAAATTTTCGACATGAATGGAAGGTTTAGGTGCTAGATTGCAACGTCATCATCCAGTTAAGCTGTACCAAACGACATTGGCCGGCCCATGCACTACAGCCACCGCAGTCGTGGATGAGCCAGTGGCGTCAATCTTCCATACTTCCAGAAAGTTGGAGCCGCTGTCCGCGATGGCCAAGCTTGAGCAGCCGCCGCTGTAGGAGGTTCCGAGGACGGTGTAAGGGGAGGCGGAGAGGGGTGATGTAGTTGGCATTGCTACCTGTTTACTGTAAGAAAGAGCACCAGTCTACAGCTTTCTTCTAGGAGGGCGCTTACAAATGTCCGAACATAAGCTTACGTTGCTGCTGTACGTCAAGCTGAGATTGTCGGTGAGAAAGTGGCCAGTTGTACCGACGTGCAGATTCCTTCAGGCGAGACTATCATCATCCAGTCAGTATCAGGTGTGGTTTCTGTACTTCCGCTCTCTGTAAATGCCAAGAATAGTTTTCAGAGTGTGGCTCCATACCCGCCCGAGCTGACGAAATACAAGGGGCCGGGCCAACCGTTCTATGAGTGACTATGCCCATGTTCTGAAGACTGACAGGCGCCGCACGCGTAGCACTAAAAGACTCGCCAAGCCGCATTGAGCAAAACGCGGGTCGGGATCTCCATCCTTGATGGGGCAGAAACTCGTCCCGCGGCTAGGCGATGCTTGTTTCAATGCAAGTGCGCCTGCTGGACGAGTCGGGACTCGATGTTTTCCCCAATTTGTGAGAGTTCGTCCCGTTTGTCACCGATAACCCGTGCTGCAGTTGCTAGTGATAATGGTCCGGCGATATGTGCGCAGCTACCCCTACAAATATGTAAAGCCGGAAGTGTCGACTTCGAGTGATCTCCGACGGATTTGCCAGCAACGCATATAATGTAACCCTGGGAAGGTTGGGATGAAGACTGGATAGGTACGGATATCATTCAACTTTACCGCCCAGTCATACTTGGCTTTCCAGCGAAAGACAATTCTGCGAACGACAAACACAGGGTGTGTTACCTCTGCAAAGTGCAAAAGGTCAAGATGGATAGCCTTTTGGTTACCGTGTTTCAATCTCTACCTTCTGGAGAGTTCCTTGCTGCGTTCGTATTGAGTCAGGATCAACGGCCTTGAGACATGTTTCAAAACTAATTCAGACTTCAACTCATTATTCTACACAAGCTACCAGAACGGACTAAGGAAGGGTCATCTAGCTCGATGAACAGGAAACATTTATTTACAATATCAAACCCCTGAGTATTCATCAACATGAGGACGAGTTGCAGCTTATCAGCTAGCCAAGGTCTTCAAGGCACCCTGAGGGATTCCTTCACCTGTCGCAGTTACGCTGTTAGCCGAGGCAGTCTAACCACTTTCACCCAAAATAAATGAATGTGACGAAACTTGCAGTCATTGAAAACTTGATATCTTTTAGGTCTCAAGATAGAAAGGATCGCTGTCGCAAGCCCTGCTTGATATGAATTACTGCAGGATGGACAGCCTCATTGAATTAGTCGGAAGGCACCAAGGTGCAGTTCGCAAAGTGATTCGTCAAGTCAATGCCATAAATCTGCGTTTTGAAATTTCTCAGCTTATGATCTGTTGCACAAGCACGCCCCAAGTAGCAATCACACATGGTAGAAGATCCATCGGCAGATAAAGTGCATTTTGGTAAGCCTGATTCCGATGTACCCCTGTGATGTACCCAGCGCCATCAGACTCCGTAGCAATGGCTTTCTTCTTCTTAAAGGCCAAGGTAGGGCTTTGCTATTCCTTTTGATAGTGATGAAAGCTCATTTCAGACCTCAACTTACAATGGAGGAGTGCATGTTCAAAAAGCACTTGGCGAGATGTCGCCATGTCACCGAAGCAACGAGTTATCTCGCGCTCTACAACTACACAGTATGTCACTGTCCCATTCCACACGCTCCCTTGCATCAAGTTTCTAAGAACTTTGCCTTGCTTATAGGATTCATCTTGGAACCAATTGAGAGAAGGGGACCTGACTCTTGACAACTTCACTGACTTTCTCAACGAGCAGGTAATGTTCCTATCATTACCTATCATTGTCTTACTCCTGTCATCGGTAGCAGCTTTGTTGCAAAGCAAGGTACTTCAGGACTAAGGGGTATGTGTTCCAGGGCGAATTTTGTCCCAGAGCCTCAGGAGGAACCCCAAGGCTTTTGAGCAAGCTTCGTTTAATGTCAGTAGCCCTTCCATGCGTGTGGCGCAATGACTGATATGAAGAGGTAGCATTCAAAAGGATGCTCAGGATCTAGAAACATTCACTCCATTGAAAATCCCTCTGCCAGCTGCACAATATGAGCAAATGCTCAAATGCTTGCGTCTCCCGCTACACGCTGTCGAGTTGACAACCTTTCTTGGACCCCTCTTCTGGTACAGATATGTCCTTCTCGGAGATGACGATCCTCACCTTCGTAAGTTTCCACCACAAGTCGCTGACAAGTTTCAAAGGGCTGAGCTTAGGAACTCCCCGGAGATGGTTTTTGGGAAGCACGATAGCCGCAAGAAAACCGGAACACGCGGTTGGGAATCGATCCTGTCGTATTCTTTCAAGCGACGTGAGACGACTGGGTTCGTGAAATGGACGCCGACGGCCGATATCATCGAGTGGTTATCCAACCTGCGAGATTGTGTCCTGGACATATGCCACCCACTTCTCATACCTAGCATCATGATGTCTGACCTCGTATCAACGACTGACGAAGTGAAACAACGCGACGCTCGCACTAGCATTCGGCAGCTGGAAAGAGCAATCAGTGTCAATGATGACACAACCGGCTTTTACTACGCAAAAGACGGTATCATCGATCTGCGCACTGTAGCAAGTGACCTCACAGAACACCACAGACGAATTCTCCATAGACCGCCCAAGTTGTACTCCAAGGTGATTGATGCTTTGGAAGCTGCAACAGATTGCTTTTGGTCAAAGATTGACCCTGGAGACAAGACCAAAGCTTTAAATCGGCTGCATGCGACTTTGAAGGACCGTTTTCATTGCCACAGAGTGCGACTTGTCGGGCTGGAGAAATACGTCTCTATATCTGTGGAGCGCTTGAACATCCAAAGGAGCATGGTCAGTCAAACAATCACATAACATATTTGGGCCGTGAAACCTCTCTAACAAGACCCAAGGTTTCATTCATTACGGCCGAAATCGCACAGAAGGATGCCAAGCTGAATCTCAAGATAGCGGGAGACCAGAGAAAAATAGCACATGCCAGTAAGAGTGATAGCCAGGCAATGAAGGCCCTCTCTCTTCTCGGTGCCGCCTTCCTGCCTGGCACGTTCATCGCCTCCATCTTCAGCATGTCCTTTTTCGACTTCCAAGCTCGTCAGTACTGATACTCTTCGCTTTTTCTTCCGGCGTGCCTAGCACTAATATCATCGTTGTAGAAGTCCATGTTTCGTCCAAGATTTGGATTTACTTTGCGTTCATGGTCCCGTTAACCACAGCTGTGCTTCTTGGATGGATTTTCTGGGATCATAAGCGAAGAAGATTGCAACACCAGAGAAGGTCTGCTTCTAATAGCATCGGCTCTGACGCAGAGAAGGCGATTTTGTATGAGCTGGCTAAGCGAAAGTGAGGAGACTCGGATTTCGTTTCAATATAGCTAGCTCACATTACCTAGCCCCGTTGTTCGTACAATGACGATGATGGATTGTTTAATGATGGTCCCACCCACTTAAGGTTAAAGGGCGCCTACGTCGGCTGCCGAAAATTATCTTCCTCTACATACAGTGCGTCTGGAAGACAATCGAATGATGCTTAGACAGAAAAGGTCATGAGTTTCGAGAAGGCCAATGAATGTGTGTTGAAAAACATTGAATATCTAAATGTTCCTAGTCGTGTCTGTTCTGTAGTTTATCCAAAACACAAATTCGGAGATCCAATTTTGGCTCGGCCGGGGCCCAGAGCCGACCAGCCCCGTTACCATGGCTATGTTGGAGGAGAGCCCCCTTGGGCGTTGGGGCACGAAGCTAGAATGAAGCCATATCCGTGACAAGAATATGTCATGCCAAAGCACGGCACACCTAATAATATCATTTGTAGTAGAATACATCGAGTCCATGGGAAGTGGTGTGTCGTCTTCGGAAATAGGATAATATGTCATAATTCCAGATAACGACGCCACTGGACATGTCGATATGGGGTTTGGTACTGGACCCTGAATGTGCTTTCCTTTTGGTGGGCTCAATAAAGATCTACAATTTATGTGTTAACTACACTTCCGAGTTCTCTCCTCACTACTCTGTTGCTAATGACACGTTGTTCAGCTCCCTGCCCCCGAGTGCCGTTCGCCGACATGGCCTTGATTCCCGTCCCTCTTACCGCCTAGACCACCAACGCCAGTATCGAACAAGACTACTTGACGTTTCCGATTTCTTCTCTACCTGATGGATATCTGTCACCAAGTCTGGTTTTGAACCTGGGGATACCGTTGCTGTTCTTGGTGCTGGTCCTGTAGGCCTACTTGCCGCGTACTCTGCCATACTTCGGGTTGCATCTCGGGTGTACAGCGTCGACCATGCGCCGATGAGACTCGAAAGGGCTGCATCTATCGGAGCCGTGCCCATCAGTTTCATGGAAAGCGATCCCGTACAGAAGATCCTCGCGTACAAGCTGGGCGGCGACATCCGGGCCGTTGATGCCGTCGTCATGGAAGCCATAACTGCAAACAGTACAATGCAGAAAAAACCTCCCGCTGGACCAGGTGGTCGACCTAGTGGCTATAGGTGATGGAATCGGACAGATTGGGATTCACATGGTGCAGCCGAATACTGGTCTGGCTTCGAACGCGGAGAGGATCACGCCGGAAGTCTCGTTTCCCATCGCGCAGCTCCTTTCCAAAGGTATCAGATATGAAGACAACATCGCAGATCCCAAGATCATTACTGGGAGCTTGTCAACTTGACATTCAGAGGGGTTGCGAAACCGGGTTTCGTAGCTAGTCCGTCCATCTATATCGAGAAAGTCCCCGCATACCATGAGCGGCTGAGCAATTGACAGGAGCCTAAGGTGTTCATCAGGTTTCCTAAGAGACGGATAAGTGCAAGCTGGTCTTGACTAGCCGAGCGCATCTTGAATTAGTGTACTATTCTTCCGTACTTGGAATTGGAGGTTGCGTCTCAGATTTATCAAATGGGTTGATATATCCTGCATCTAAAGAAGCTAGCGGTTGTGACGGGAAGCATGTAGTATTCATGCGCGGTAGACCTAAGAAGAGATTGTTCGCAGTGACATTGAGTTTCTTCTACATTGTGCCATTGGATTATGTCGCTAAAATGACGCCTCTTGTTGCGTACAGCAGTTAACGCCATAAATATACTGCGATACATTATCTCGAAACTTTTCGCCTATTCTTTATTCAGATCTATCCATAACTAGGTCTAAAATCGAAAGGTTCGGCCCGGTCCATTTCTTTCCTTTGAGGAACCAAAGACTAACAGCAACCAACAAGACGAATACCATGACTGGTCCGCAATAGTTCATATTCTCGGCGGTTACAGGAATTGTTGATGGAAAGGGAAGGAAAACCATGACGTAGAGAGTGTATGTCAAAGCGAATGAGTTGATGTAAAGACCAAACCGACCGAGATTCCACTCTCCTAGTTTGACACCTCCTTTGGAAGAGATACGAGCGTAAAGCATGCTGCTGATCGCTATGGCATAACTGAGGTAAAGAGCCATTGAAGAGAGAGAAGTGATGGCGCCAAAAGCGATATAACTAGAGCTCCCAATGTTGAGGAGACAGAGTGCACAGACAATGAGCACCGTGGCGATAATGGCGCGGATCGGTACGCGGTGTTTGGGATGGACGTATGCCAGGTAAGCAGGCATACCTCCGTCTCGGGACCAGGCCCAAGTAAGACGGGATACGGAGGCAATGTTGGCCAAGTTGACGCTGAAGGAGACGACGAATAGGCCAGTGATCATGGCAGTCGTCGCGCCCTTGGAACCAGTGATGCTGAGAAGTATGGTGAGAATCGGGCTAGCCGAGTTGAGGGCGTCGTCGATGGAGCCCATTGAGACGAGGATAACGCAGACCATGACGAAGCCGAGGCATCCGTTCATGAAGATGGACCAGAACATGGCGCGAGGGACCGCGGATTTGGCCTTTCGGGTCTCTTCGCTCATATGGATAGCACTATCGAAACCTGATCGAATGTTGGTCAGATCATAAGACAAAGATGGAAATATTTGGTCATCATACCAGTGAAGCTCCAAACACATGTCAACATGCCTAGGTTCCAAGCAATAAACGTATCCGTCCAGCCGGATGCAATATTGGTCTCCAAGAAGAAGCTACCCGAGTGTCGAGTTCCCATCACCGCCAAAACAACGACGAAGACGACAAACAGACAGACATGGAGAACGCCAGCAACGAGTTCGACCCACGGGATGACCCTAAAGCAGTACGTGTTCATCAACCCCTGAATAACGCACATGGCGATGACAAGCACTGAGGTGTGCCAGCCTCCGGGTACGTAATTCGGGTGATTCATCTCAATCATCGATTCCAGGAGGATGATGGTCACGTTAGCGATCCCAGCAAGGAGCGATACGTAACCGAACCACGTCGACCAGCCCTGGATCCAGGTAGCGAAGCTCTTGACCCGCGCGGGGGCGAGGTGGAACGTCCAGTGATACTGGGCACCGGCGACCGGCTGGATCGAGGCCATCTCGCCCAGCGACGCGGCTTGTGCGATGGCTCCGCAAAATACGATGACGAAGCTGAAGATGAATGTCTGTGGCCCGCCATTGTAGAGTGCAAAGTACATGTTTCTTGAGATTTGGTAAGATTGAGGTGGCGAAACCATGGGGAAGATTGGCAATATACTTACGTGCACATGCCTTCCCATAAGGCCATGTAAGTCAAGGAGAAGGCAAAAAGCTGCGAGAAGGAGAAGAGTCTCCGTGTTCGCGTCTGGTTGTAAACTTCGGATCCATGTGTAGAATCGTTCGTATCAATCTGGGTGGCGTCTTTGACGGTCGGCTGTAGCTCGATTGCCTCTATGGGAGCCATGTTGAGATGCTCGAAATACGAAAAGAAAGGGGAATGAACGAGGACTCCGTAGAAAAGAAGAACGTGTCTGTCTGAATATGGAGATCGGTGACCTACGTCTGATGCTGGGGACAGACGAGATTCTACTCGAGTTGGAGAAGAGTTGGGCAGCACAAAAGAAGCCTTGGCCAAAGACTGCGCCGTATGCAGATTAATATCAGCAGAGGTAACCGTGGACATGGGACAAGTGAGACATTGACCCCGGAAGCCACAGTAAGCTTGCAGGTGGGCTACTCTGAGCTCGGAGAAGGATTGGCGAGGGGGGAACCGGACCATCTCCCTCGACGTAGCGATGCCCAGCCGTTCTGAACAGAACCGACGAGCACTTAATCAAAATTCCAGATTGGGCTCCGCTGAATATGCATATTGAAGCCAACGCTGCTTCCTTGAGGGGAATAATTACCGACCTACAAGTGCCCTGCTCGTTGGGTTCAAGCCGGGGTATTGCCTCTGTCATATTTCTGTGCGATTCATTCAACACGATACGTCGTTGGTGGGAAGCTCAACCTGGGCCCTAGTATTTTTTCACCCTGATCCCCAAGTAATCTTCATCCGGTTGTCCGGCCTCGCTCGCTTGCAAAAAATTCCAACCGATCGTATCAAATTGCTTTTATTGCGATGGACTGGACGCTTGGCTGAGATCCAGATCAAAGACTGGTGGCTTCTGGGTGGCATGCCGTTGAGCTCATATTTCAATGGGTGAACGTTCACCGGTGTACACTCAGAAGCTTATAACTAGTAATTACTACTTCAAACTTATCTCCAACAATACTTAGTACTAACCGACGCTGTCTGGGCGAGCCAATGAAATAGAGCTGGTGTCAACTGTGAGTTCAAATAATGGTCCCGATTCTTCTACTTCTTTCATCTCCACCTGGTATGCGCCATGGTATTTTTCAGCACACTTCGGCCCACCGAGCAAACTTCGCTTCCATCCTTGCAACACGTAACAGGACCGCAGGCGAAATTTCAATCTGCTCACACGGAACGCATCCTCGGGAAACCGAGTGAGGAGTTGGTTTGATGGTCTAACATCACGTAGTGGTAGGCCAGTTTCTTACGCACGAAAAAGCAGGACAGCTTCCGCGGTTATGGAACCAAAGTTGTTCAATGAGCACACTACTCAACAGAGTTCACATTCCAGGGTTCTTGAGCCAAGTCATTGTTATTTGGCTCATCTGCCGGAGAACTCTTCCACAAATTATCGCCCAGAAAACACTGTTACGATGGGCTTCGGCTGAAACGCAACCAAACCAACCGACATTGACGAATACTTCAGCTATGCTTGACTCATAGCTCCTGTATAATTTCTTCGCAAACCGCTCCAGATTCTAGTGAAAGCCAGGGGCTCTTGGAGCGACGGAGAATTGATCAACAGGTTACAAAAGATCCCGCGGTGGCGTTTACAAAGTCGAAACACCCTGCGGCCCGAATGAGAAGTCGTACACGTGCGCACAGGAAAGGCGGCTTGACAATATCATTCTGGTAAACATTCAACTCTTTGAATAGCTCTTGCTTCAACCCGGCTTCGCTGAATATGCCAGTCAACTTTCAACCAGATCCTCCATTTTATCCGCTGGCAGAGAACGACCATGCCGCGCTCGTCGTCGTTGCTTCACTGATCTTCCTGATCTACGCCATTGTTGGAATATCTCTGAAACTCGTCATCCGTCTCAACATTACGTCTTTGAAAAGTCATGATGTGGCATTACTGGTCGCGAGTGGCTTGCTCCTCTCACAGACAGTCTGCATCATCGTCGCTTGCAACCACGGACTCGGGCGTCATCAGGATACAGTAGAGTCTCGCGATCTAGAGACATTTCACCAGGTACGCAGCTTTCTATTGAGAGTATAAACTGATACAATACTAACCAACTTTACCCTGCTAGCTCTTTTATACATCGTCTCTGCTTGCCATCGCCACTGCCGCCAGCACCAAAGTTTCGCTATGCCTCCTCATCCACTCCATCGATAATCACGGCCGACTCAATCTTGCGAACAAGTTACTATTCGGCACCATCGTCGCATGGGGCGTATCTGGTATCTTCGCGGTGGCATTTCAATGTTCTCTTCCCCAGCCATGGCGCGCCATCACGGCAGAGAAGTGCCCAAGTCGGGAGCGAGTTTTTCTGTACAACGGCGTAATGGATATTGTTACGGATGTTTGTCTGTGTCTGCTACCCATCGCTGTGATGTGGAAAGTACAGACCAGCTTCCAGAGAAAAATGATGGTGGTTATTTTGTTCACCATTCGCGTTGTGTAAGCTACTTCGACTTTCCCAATCCTGCGGCGCCTCTTTTGTTGACCTTTCCTTTCCACAGCATTCCTATACTTTCAATTCCCAGACTGATCAGTACACATACCTTGGTGACCGACTACACTGACGCGACATGGCATGCCGTACATCACGTTATCTGGTTGCAAATCTCACTAGGCTTGTCAATTCTCACAGCATGTATCCCGAGTCTGAAAGGAGTCATTGACAGCCTCCTCGGGTCTACTTCTGTAGCCGCCATCCGGGCGCCTTACCATTTGACCTCGTCAGGCAAGGATGGCAGCAGGCTTCAACCAACAAGTCTGCTGATCGGCAGCGGGTCCAACACGAGACCGGGGTCACATCTGGCGAGCGGCGCAGGAGATTCGAGGACCGCAAGGGCCGGGTCAATCTGTTGCGGGATTCACGGCTCTGCAGAAAAAGAAGATGTCGGCTACAGTGAGAGCGTGAGGAGATTGACACGGGGTGGAGAGTTTGGAATGTCTCCTGATGAGAGGCGTAGATCGAGCTCACAAGAGGGATCTCTGAAGTCTGGTGAAGCTGAGCTACGCTAGTATGAATTAATGCTCTTGCAAAGCTAAGATGTTGAGAGAACTTGCGTGGATGAGATTCATCGGGAAATTTCAATCCTTTTCTTGAATCGCAACTACTTCTTGCGCAGATATGAAACTCGCAGGGGTGGGTGTTGAGATACATCCGCAGTCAGTGAGCTGGGCAACAAAATACTCTCACAAAGTCTCTGGTCCTTTTTGCATCAATCCACTTGGATGAGTTATTGTGTAGAGACACCCTGCGTAGAAAGCACTACGTAGAGAGTAATAATTACTGAGGATTTTGTCTCAGAGGGGGTCTGCTCCATTTCTTTACAGCGAATGAGATGATGAGATGTCTCTCACCGGTTGCCCGAGATGGCACGATTCCCCAGGGTTTTGCGGGTTCGGGGATCCGGAGCGGTGGGTACTTCTCCACCAAATGTCGGTGGGGTCGGTACGGTCGGTACGGCCGGTACGTACTATGTATTCCGTACCTACCTAGTCGATGCATTGCCGTCCCGACGCAAAAACTTTCTCTTTTTGTTGCACAGACACACAGGCTGGCAGACGCTCTGACGCACCTCAGCTTTGGGCTAATCAAAGCAAACCTTCCGGGAACCTAAATCCCCCAGCTGGGCCCTGCGAAGACTAAAAGGCACACCTGCCACCTTACCTTTTTTCCGCCCTACCCTTCCCGTGTCATCACACACCCTCGTTCAGCCCGAATAGAAGCCGTCCCCCACCATGGACCCCCCCGACCGAGACGACCGGACCGGCGAGACAACGCCGTTGCTGTCGGATCAGCCGCACCGCAAGCCGGACATTGAACCGGCGAGTACCAGCGGTTGGCTGTCGGAAGCCTGGCTCCTCTGCCGCTATTCACTACCGCTCATCGCCACCTACCTACTGCAGTATTCCTTCACCGTCATCACGACATTTGTGGCAGGCCACCTCAGTGCCGATGACCTCGCCGCCGCCAGCATCGGTCTGACGACCATGAACATCATTGGCCTCGCCATATACGAGGGAATGGCCACCGCCCTCGACACCCTCTGCGCCCAGGCCCACGGCTCCGGTCGCCTCACCGCCGTCGGCCTCCACGTCCAGCGCATGCTCATCCTCATGACCCTCGCCACCGTGCCCATCGGGCTCTTCTGGATCTTTTCGCCGTCCATTCTCTCCCTGTTTGTCAAGCAGCATCACTTGGCCGTCAAGGCCGGGACGTTCCTGCGCGTAAGTCTGGTCGGCATACCCGGCTACGCCGCCTTCGAAGCTCTCAAGAGGTTTCTGCAGGCCCAGGGCGACTTCAAGAGCGCCATGGTCGTCCTCATCATCTGCGCCCCCATCAATGCCTTCCTCAGCTGGCTCTTCGCTTTCAAGCTGGGCATGGGCCTCGAGGGCGCGGCCCTGGGCCAGGCCCTGGCCAACGACTTGCGTCCCGTCCTCCTGCTCGTCTACATCGTCGTATGGGGCCAGTGGTCGCACCAGTGCTGGGGCGGGTTCTCTCGCAAGGCTTTTACAGAGTGGAGCGTGCCGGTGCGACTCTCCATTGCAGGATCGGCCGTCAATTTGGGCGAGTGGGCTGCCTTTGAGATCCTGACGCTCAGCACGTCCTACCTGAGCACGGAACACCTCGCCGCGCAGACCATCTTGACCACCATCTCGGTCGTCATGTGGCACATACCCTTTTCAATCTCGGTTGCGATTAGCACCCGCATCGGCCACCTGATTGGCGGCGGGCTCGTAGCGACTGCACGGCGAGCCACGACTCTCTACGCCGTCGTCTTCACCGTCGTCGGTGTTCTGGATGCTATCCTGGTCTTCCTGTTCCGCCACCAGCTCGCCCTCGTCTTTTCCGAGGATGCCGAAGTCCAAAGACTCACGTCCGACTCCATGCTCGCGGTCGCGGCATTCCAGCTCATCGACTCCATCATCAGCGGATGCAACGGCGTGCTGCGGGGCCTCGGCAGACAGGCCGTTGCGGCGTTTATTGTTTTCGCCGTCAACTATCTGGCCGCGGTACCGCTCGCCGTCTGGTTCGAACTGGGATCACCGGGCCTAGAGCTGGACGGTGCCTGGATAGGCCTCGGTGGTGGTATGGTCGTCATTGCCATCATTGAGTGCATTTACATGAAGGTGATTAGATGGCAAGACTGCGTTGAAAGTGTCAGAGATAGGGAAGGCATGTAGTGGTTTTTTTTTTCTTCTTCCTAATTTCAAAACAGCGGGCTAGCATGCATATACCATAGACAAATTGCTTAGACGTCAATATCCCCACGATACTTCGGCCCTAGGGCCAGACTCTGGTCAATTTGCATTTTCACAAAGGGTGAACTTTTACCAACTATGAGGAAATTCTGTCTAAGCAGCACTAGTATCCCTAATTCTCTCATGGGTGTGCCGCTAAAGAGTGCTATGTGGGTGATGTCTGCAGCTTGACAGCAAACTGGTGTTGAGACAGAGTCGCGGGAAGGTAAGACCAGGACCACTTCAGCCCGCTTTTAGTGGGGCAATGTCTTATGTCAGCGAGACCCCTTGAGCACAGTGCATGGCTCATTCCTCACACTTTCCAGTCTATCTGCCAAATGCGTGGGTCTTTCCGTCTCCAGTCATTGCCATCCTTGGACCGAGACCTTCACCAGCGACCTACAGGCCTGCTCCATCTCGACAACAACGAAGCCAGAGAATTCAAATTCAGGAGCGGGGTTTCGGTCCCTGACCTCCGTCCAAGAAACGGCCTGGCGGGTCTTTCTCTGTCAACACTGACTGCTGGTCAGTCGGCATCGCCATGCCCGCCACCGGGGTCCAAGCCCGGCCCGACGCTGACCCGGACCGGCCGCCTTGCAATGTTTGCTTTGATCTTGACATGGCGCGGATGCCTGAATCGATCAGATCCGACGAAAGGGCCTGCGAACTCAAGGACATTATCAAGGCAAGCAAGAAGGGATGCCAACCATGTTACGCCATCAAAGTTGCCTTACAAAGGGTGAACGGTGTCAACTGTCACGATAGCAGCCTGTTGCTTGATACCGCGTTTGTTGTCATTTACTTTTCCGCAACTGTCCGGATTGAAGGATTCTTTCAGTACCGAAACTCGGAGAACAAGGTGACTGCCCTGAGGACGACAGTCGAGTTGTTCACGAAGCCGGGTAAGAAAACGGTAAATCTTGCGTGGCTATCGGAATGAATGTTGACTCATTTGTAGGCAAACCATTGCCGTGGAAATCCATTACTGCTTATAATGAAATACCTCTGAAGCTACACTCCAAACATCGACAGAAGACGATCCGTGGATGGGTCAATGACTGCAACGCAACACACGCAAGTTGCGGCGCGAGTTTGTACCCGCTCGAGCGTCACTCTGCTCCTCGACGGTACCTGGATCTTGGCAAGACCCCGCGAAACGGCGTCAAATTAGTCGATTTTCGCTCCGCTTCTGAACCCTACATCACCGTCGTCCACGGCTGCACCGGTCTGTTGCCAGCTCCATCGTCACCGACAACCTCGGAAAACCTGGAGCGGCGCCGAAAGTGCTTGCACTGGTGGCAAATCCCCGTGGCTCTCCAAGAAACCCTGACGATTGCCAGCGAATTGGGTATCCAGTATATCTGGATTCACGATTTCTGCGTCGTCCAAGACGCCGAAGAAGACATGAACTGGCATTTGGACCGAGAAGACCTCATCTTTGGACGGTCATACCTCACTATCGCCTTGACAGACATACAGGATCTCAGACTGAGCAATTTCGGGCCCGCGCGTAAGGCCATTACAGAAATGTCAGATAACGTCGATCACGGGACTGGATCCGTTGCCATTCAAGTTAGTAAATTCGGCCGCACATATCACATTCATGCGCGTGAGGGTATGTACTGGAGCCATTTCATTTTCGCCAAGAGGAGCCTGTTGAAACCCATGGGATTCGAAGTTGAAGAATCAGCGACGATGGAACGACATCTGGGACTCTTTCAGCATGGTCCTGCGTTTCAACGCCTTTTGCTGTCTCGCAGGCTGCTTTATTTGCACAGGTCAGAGCTGGTGTGGGACTGCCTCGAACAACCCAGATGCGAGTGCGATGACAAATTCTACTTTGGACAATCTAAGCCAGGCCTCACGAAACACATCTGGATGTCACGCGGGGCCGTCAATTCTCCCGACCATGTACTCGATCTTTACAAGGACATGACGACGCCCAATCCTGACGAGAGGCTAGCCGTTGTTGCCAGTCTCTTTCGGCATATCTCCCGTCTCTATGGTAGAACCCACTGCGCCGGCATGGTGTCAAATTCAGGTGTAAAGCTGGCGGCTGACCTCCTATGGACCATCCGGTCAATGGAGGACTTGCTGTCAGACCGGCCTACTCGAAATTCCGCACCTGCTCCAGAAGCATACCGACATCATACCGATCGCATCCCGTCGTGGTCTTGGGCATCCATGGTGCTCAGCAAGGGAACTACATTCAGAAGAGCCTCGTTCCTATCGCCGGGTCGTAAACTCGACTCATTTACTTGCTCTCCGCCATTCAGCTTAGCGGGAGGCAGCTACTGTGACACCTTACCTGGGAGTCGCGACGATGGTCTGCTAGCCACCAAGTACCGACTGAAAGTCATAGGGGCAACTAGAACAGTCACGGTAGTAGGGCCGAAGAGGAGCTGTCACACGCCACATCTTCTCAATTGCTACACGCAAGAGGTACCAAATCACAACTCTTCCATACTTTTTTCTTTTCAGCCGGACTGTGCGAGGCTCCTCGCTTCCTTCAGGGTGCAGGAGATGGCAAGCCAAAAGTTTACTATTCTACTGCTAGGTGTCATGGGGGTGGTTGAGGGGCCGAGCGAGCCGGGGTGCACGTCAGAACTCGCACATCATCTGGAGGTCGGCTTGGTTCTGCGTGAATCACCGCGGGCACAGGGCTTCGAGCGGGTTGGAGCATTCGCATTGCCGGCGAGTCACGGTATATTTGCGAGTGCCGAGGTGCGTGAACTGGTCCTGGTCTGATGTAGAGGGGACGGCTTTGAGCGGTGCAAGACTCTTTTGCCGGGCCAAGATTGTTGGTATTCCATGTCATAAGATTGAGGATGACAGGATCGACTTTCTTGTCACAACTTTTAACCCTGCTGAAATAAGTGCGACTTGTTGGCAGACTTGCCGGCGGCCGAACACCACGGTACACAATGTGGGGCACAATCCGGTCATTGTTTGACAACTTGTCCGGTACTCCAGACTCTCGGAGAATGCAACATTGGAGAGCAAAGATGGATTGGTGTCTGGTTCCAGTGATTGAAGCATATGTTGTCTATGATTCGCAATTTTAAGAGTCCATTTAGGAAAATACACCAAATGCGGATGAGTGCATGCATAGAACACACACACAACCAAAGCATCTATCTATCTGCCAGTCCATACAGGGGAGTATTTACTGAACAGACACAACAACCAAAAAACTCCAAAGGAGGTGAGAGGAGAGGTACCTCAAAAGGCAAAAGAAGAGACGCGATCGGTGGGACTCGAACCCACAGCCTTCCGATGATCTTTTACTCGTAAAAGTCGGACGCTCTGACCAAATTGAGCTACGAAAGCAACCGCTGTTGGATGTTAGAGCGCAGCTGGATTGGGGCTTAGGTATGTTTGCTTAGACCCGGTGGAGCCTTCACTGGGCCCGGTCTGCCATGCTCCGCCGAGGGCATCTTTGTCTCCTGTTGACTCACCCCCAACCAATGATGCTTTTTTTCCGGTTGTGAGGAATGCCGTTCCTGTAGATGACTCTATATGCCGTCAGCCTACCTACCTAGTATCGTCATACAATCTTTTTGCTCAGATGCATGGTATGGCATGGCATATGCGCAGCGGTTGGTGGGTAAACCCTCCCTTGCAGAGCTAGCATCCATGAGTTCTGTCATCCTCCTGAATCAACATCAGCAACCACCTGGATCGATAGCTCAGTGGTAGAGCGAGAGATTGCAGTTCCTCAGCTGTGATTATCTCTAGGCCCCGCGTTCGAATCGCGGTCGGTCCTGTACACTTTTGACGATTCTTGCTAGTTGACGGTGAGAGAGAGAGAGTTTGCTCCCTTTTTGTGCGTCTCCGCAAATGGGCCTCGCTTCCCATGCATTTGGGGTTGTTGTCCACTTAGAGTTGAGCTATGGACCAAGCGGATCCACCGTTGTGTTAATGACTCAGCGGGGACACATTGGCCAGAAGAGACACAGAGTTTGGACAAGATGCATGTATCTCGCCCATACGTCTTCTTGAGCATCAGTGTGTGGGTGAGTAAGTGAATAGTTATAGAATCACTGGGACTCATATCAACGAGGCATCATGAGAGCGGCACCCGCCAACGCCACAACCCCTCGGAGTGCCATTATAACACAATGAGCCATTGATGAGCCGGCCTGTGACGAAACTCCAGAGCTGACCTCACCAGGTCCTTCCATTAAATCAGAAGACTTCAGTCACATTTTGTTGAAAAGTCTCAGGAAGCAATGCAAGATAAATTCTGAAGTCTCTTCTATCCGAATATATTAAAATAAGATGCACGCAGCCAATCTTGGATCTTGTAAGTTGAAGTAAACTCACGCCACCATACCTGACTTCTGAAAAAGAAAAAAAACTTGCATCAAACAGCTCAACGATTTGCCAGTACGAATGCCGCCTTACCATGAGGACCCAGAATCTATTGCACTCACCGTGACCTTCGAGTACTCGGTATCCTAATCCTCTATCCTAGGCTGAGTTGAAGTCGTCTGTTGTATCTCGAAGATACCATGGTCCCGAACGTCTTAATTCTCTCGCGAGAAATGGTGGCAGATACGATTACCACTTGCTTGACAGATGCGGCAGATTTTGCATAAGTAGCACGTGTTCAAGATGATCTCCTCAGCGAAGCCTAAATAGGTTCTTGGCGCTTCATCCGGCGGCTTCAAAGTGACTTTACTTTCTGAGGAGACGGCCAGGCTTAATTGTACGTAAATGGAAACAATGATCGTGGCAGTTCCGCCAAACGACGGGTGGCATCTTCAGGGTCTAAACCTCGAGCTGGGCCGACATTCAGCTCCTCAAGAACCTGAGCAGCCTCCAGCGAATGAGGTGGCCGAGTGAGGAGAGGCTTGTTGGATTATCCCGAGACGGGCTCCTGGAAGGAGTCCGCTGCCCTTTCGTCTGCTTTCATGCTTGAGGATTGGCCAAATTCAGAGCCTAATTCTTATTGTAGAGTCTGACTTGAGAAAGCGAAACCACAGATCTAGAGTCAGTCATCTACGTGATATTTAAATCACCTCGCTGTCCACTGTTGGTTTGCACGCGGAATTCTCCGCTCTACTAGGAACCACAACAGTCCAAACGCGTCATCGTCTCTCTCTGCTTGTCCCAAAAAGTCAACCAAGACTCAACTCAAGGGCAATCAAACAGAGAGCAAGCCCCACGATGGACTTTGCAAATTTGTTCAAGAGTATTACTGGCCGTACTTGGAAGATGGAATTTGCGAGGCCAGTCCGAATGTTCGATTGGTCTTACGTGGGCTGTACGTAACAGCATCCGTAGTTATTGGCTTACGTACAGACAGCATGAGAGCTTGAGTCGATTCTAGGAGGACTGGCGAGAGATTAAGTTAGAAGAATCAGGGTCAGAAGGGTTGTAGAGAAGTCACTGGACTCTGGAATCGTCCGAAAGAGAGATCAATACCTTCCGTCAGAGTCTACGGGCTCGGCAGCGACCCAAAAAGCATATGTGCGGCATGTATAAAACTTGCGGGCAATCGACGATTGAGTGCGGCTGACGCGGGTGGGGAGCGTCCCTATGTACATAACGAAGGCAAACATCTCGGAATATTGATGATTCCCGGACAGTGGAACATATAAGCGAGGCCTTCCTTTGGTGCTAGGCGGTAAGAAACAGCCAAGACGCAACTGAAGGCTTGTTCCATTACCTACTAGACCTAGATGTAGGTAGGGACACCAGATGCTGCTTTCTATATCAAATCCAGGTCGTGTATCTTTTGGTTTTGCCGGTGGTTTTGTAAGAGCTCCCGTCCCGTCGGGGCTTACATATCTCCTGTATAAGGATTTTCTACTCTGCTAACAATGTGATTGGAAGTTAACAGATTTTTGATCAGACGTCCAGACAACGCATCAAGCAATGGCGATCTCCATACACAACATAGTTTCCATTTGTATTCCAGACTCTCGCTGCTTGCGCACCGTCCTGGCCCAAGCAAGGTCCCAAATTGAATGAAAGCAACATCAAACCCAGTCATCTCTCAGCAGCTCGTCGCCGGATCCTGCCCCATCAACCGCCTCATGAGCGGCGTAAACCTCCCCTCTCCGTCCATCAGCTGCGCCGCAGGACTCACAAAGTCATCAGCGCAGTGTGCCATACACCCAAACCACCCATACTCGTCAATCCATTCCCTCTCGTCCATCCACCCGCTCAGCTCCACCGTGAACCTCTCCACTTCTACCGAGTCCCGACTGATGGAAGCAATCTCCGAGACGTTGAGCGGCAGCCCGTACCGCTCGTACATGGACGTCAAGTATCTCTTTGCATGCTCCACGTCGCCGCTGTAATAATGCACCCCGAGGAAGTCTGGCCCCGTCTGTCTCTTCTCTCGGTTCTCTTGCTGCGCCTCACGCACGAGACGCATAAACTCCGCAAGCCACGCCTCGCCTCCGGAATCACTAGCACATGCCGGCCCGACGAGCTTCTTGCCCCTCTTCTCCCGCAGCTCGGGAACGACTTTCTCCAGCCACCAACCGGCGGCCTCCCCCGGCGAGGTTCCCTGACGCTCCGGCTCGTTGAGATAGTGCACGATTTCGGCGTCTGAGTCGCGGATCCAGTCCCACTCCTCCGTGTCCAGCTGCGCGCGCGTGCGAATCATGGGCCGGAAGGGAAGCCGACCCTTGAGCTCGGGCGGGTACCACGCGTTCCAGTTGTGAACGGACTTGAAAGGGGTAATGACCGCGGCGACGGCCGTCGTTGGTGTTGCTGTTGCTTCTGTGGGCTTGTCCGTCGAGTCCGGCGACGACGTGTTGGGGAAGAGCTGGTCAATTGCATCTGGACGGTCCCGCGTGTTGGTATAATCCCACAAGAGGCAACGTTTCTGGGCTTTAGGTTTCGCCATTATTAGATGAAGTATGCTGAATAGAGTGGGTATTGGTCAAGTTGCATGTATCAAAAGATTGATGGCTTTAAATACGGGTCCAAAGGGGACGACGCTTTCATAAAAAAGGGTTCCTTGGTAAGTCGTTGTTGCTGGTCAGCAGTCATCACCCGGAAGCGCGTGCCGCCGCCTTACGTCACGGCCGCCAAAATCAAGTTCATGGCCACCGGCGCCGACTTGGTTGGGACTCCGCCCCGATAACTTTGTCCGCCTTATGCGTCCGCCCCAAACAGCCACTCACATCCGAGGTGCTGCACAGCGGCTACCTCTTAACGTGTCACTACATCAACATATCCATGAGCTTGTTCGCCAGAGCTGATTCACATTGCGGAAAATACCGTCCACGTCTTGCACCAAACGCTTTTCTTTCTTGGTTGCAATATATTCTGACAAATGGTGTATCCCCTCCGCTACAGAGTCCGACACACCCTACTTCCGGTTGCGCTGCGGTCTCGCATTCTTCTCCATGCGCTTCTGCTTCTCCCATCTCGCCTTCCGGATATCCTCGACGCCCTTGATTTCCTTGCGACTGCCCGCGCCGTCCTTGAACTGGCCGATACGCTTCTCCTTGGCCTCGGCGATCCTCTTTTTTCGCACCTCGTAGTCGTCCCGGAACTTGTCGGCCTGCTTGGGCGCCTTCTCCTGCTTGTGCTTGTACTGCCGGCCCGACGGCAAATCCGGCACGTTGCCCTTCTCCATGCCGCCCACCTGGATCCGGCCCAGCCTGTTGGCCTTGCGCCATCTGTCGAACCGCCCGCTCTGGAAGCTGGCCGCGATCTTGACGCCGCTCTCGCCGCGCACGTACTTGGACCCCTTGGAGCCGTCCTCATCGTTGGCCCGCGCCACGTACTTGTTCTGCTTCTTGTCCCAGCGCATGCCCACCGCCTTGGTCGGCTCGCCGAAACCCTTGGCGGTCTCGTCGTTTGTGAGGTCCATCTGCACGTCGCGCGCCGCCTGCACGAAACTCGACGTCTGCGCGCCCGACGTGACTCCGTACCCGCGCTCCTCTGCTGCGTTAATCGTCCTGGGCGTGTATGACATGAAGACGTCCGAGTCGCGCCAGGAATCCGTCTTCTTCTTCTCCTTCTCGCCTGTGTTGGTAACTGTGACTTCGAGACCGTCATTATCGTCGGAATCGTCCGAGTTGTAGGCTTCTGCGGCACCCTCCTCTGCTTCACCGTCGAGTCCGTCATCCGAGTCATTCTCGGCACCATCCGGGCCCTCCATGTCGTCGTCCGAGTCTAGCTCCTCCTTCTTGTTGCCGCGGTGTGGTGTGATGCGTTTCCTCAGCTGCTTCATAACCTCAACTGCTTCACTACTTGATCCCTTGCCCCCCTTCCCGATCTCGAAAATGGTCTCGGCCGGTCTGAAGCCACTAATCTTGGCCATCATCTCGTTGCGCGCCTGCTCCACGACACTGGCGTCTTTGCCAAATAGAGGATGCAGCTCGTGCCAGCCCTTGGTTCCCACAAGCTCGCGGGCTCGTTTCGCGCTCTGGCTTGAAGCTGAATGCCTGGTCTTTAGGTACAGCTTCTCAGCTTTCGTCGAGACTCTGCGCAGCGCCTCGAGGTCGGACTCCTCCTTCAGGATCTTGTCCATCCATTCCATGTTGATTTCAATCCTATCTCTCTTCAATCCACCAACGACAACGTCTTCGGCGTAGGATGGGTTCTCGGTATCGTGACCTGCTACTAGCCGCCGGCCAAGGAACAGCTGGAGATCCAGCAGATAAGGTGTGTCGAGTTCGCGCACGATACTGTATGCCCAACCCCTTTGACCAGCACGAGCCGTACGTCCAACACGATGGACAAAGACCTTGGGTTGCGGAGGGAAATCGTAGTTGATGACGTTCGCCAGAACTGGGATATCGATACCTCTGGCAGCGACGTCCGTCACCACCAAGATGTTTGCTCTACCATTTCGAAAGTTTTCAGTGTTGATACGACGGGCTTCTTGGTCCAGTGAACCATAGACGTGGGATACTGCATAGCCGGCCTTTGTGAGCAGCTGCGCCAAATACTCCACGTGATGCTTTGTAGCCGCGAAGATAATAGTCGAGTGTTCTGTCGGTTTACCGGTGCCGCCACCCTCGCGCTTTCGCTTTTTCGACGGTGCAACATCTAGGGGAACGCCATCGGGAGTTCCTTGTGGCATCTTGATCAGGTCGTTGAGAATATGAAGCAGGGAAGCTTCCTTCTCGGCCCCTTTAACGGAGAAGAAGGCACTCTCGAGATCGGGGGAAACCTTGGTCTCGGCATCCAATCTCACAAGGCTCGGATCCTGGAGTCCGGCCCTCGCAAATTCGACCAAGGAGGCCGGCAGTGTGGCAGAGAACAGCAGACTCTGCCTCGATAAGGGGAGGGCGTGGAGAATTTCGGTAAGCTGGGCAGCGAAACCCATTTCGAATAGACGATCAGCCTCGTCGAACACGACGTATTTGATGGACGACAAGTCCAGACCCATTTCAACCTTGAGATGGAGGAAACGACCAGGCGTGGCAATGACGATATCCGGGTTCGAGGACATCATGCTGAACTGGTCCTCCATGCTGTCACCACCCACGAGAAGGATGCACTTCAGATCCGTCCCCTTGCTGAACTCCTTCACGACCTTGAGGGTCTGGAGCGCGAGCTCACGAGATGGCGACATGATGAGCGCTCGCGTGCCGACCTTTGCGCTGTGAGCGCGCAGGCGCTCAATCATGGGAATCACAAAGGCCGCAGTCTTTCCTGAACCGGTTCTCGCCATGCCCACGACATCCTTGCGGTCCAAGATCAGGGGAATCGTCTTTCGCTGAATCGGTGTGGGAACAGAGAATCCTTTCTTCGTAATCGCGCGCAGGAGGCCGGCATTTAGACCTGCGTACCGGATTAGATCTCCAGAAACAGCACCAGGCGTATAGTATTGGTTCAATCACTTACCCATGGCCTGGAAACCACCTCCTCTCTTTACCGACTTTCCCTTGAGGTTGGACGACTTGCGAAACGAAGCAGCCTGCTTCAGCGCAATGAACGCTTCGTCGCCATCCTCGTCCTCTTGCCCCTCTTCGTGGCCGTTCAGGATCCCGTCCATGTCGAAGTCAATGCCTCCCACATCCTGCCCGGCGTCGCTGCCATTGTCGCTGGCGTCGAACAGGTGATCGGCGATGTCGACCTCTCCATCGGAGGGAGTGGGGGATGCAGCGCGACGAGGCATCTTGAAATCTGTATTTCTGGCGAGGCCCCGGGTGCGATCGTAGGTTGGCCCGTCGAAAACTGGTTTTCAAGCGAGTTTGCGAAACAGCAGAGCACCCAAGAGCTGGGCGGCCCGTCTTTCGAAAATTTGGGCTTGGGCGGGCGAGAAATTTCTTATCGGTAATCCTTATCTTAGCGTCGTGGGGCAAACGTTCGTCGGCAGGGGTCTTTTGCGGGTCCCTGTGGCCGTCACTGAGCCTCGTCTCGTGCTAACTCGCGTGCGTAACTGTCCATCTTCAACCCGCATCTACAGTCTCAGCATCAGTCCACCGAGGTGCAGCTGCCAAATCAGATTTCCCTCAATAGGTCTGCAATCATCATCATGGCGAGTGAAGATGTCAAAGAGGAGAAGGACGCGCTCGATGCGCTCGAAATCGAGGCAAAGGAGTTTGACAAGGTAAATGCGACCGCCAAAGAAACTACACACGTTGAATCCAAGTGCTGACCATGCCTCCCTACCCCCTATACAGGATGCAGAAATCGACAGAATCCTAAAAGCATTCAGGTTAGACGCCTACGCCGTCCTCGATCTCCAACCAGGCGTCCCCGAATCCGACATCAAAATCTGCTATCGCAAAAAGTCCCTCCTCATCCATCCGGACAAGACCAAGAACCCGCTCGCGCCCGATGCATTTGACCGGCTAAAAAAGGCGCAGACGGAGCTCATGGACGAGAAGCACCGCGAGCGCCTCGACGAGGCCATTGCCGACGCCCGCATGCTCCTCATCCGCGAAAACAAGTGGACCGTCGACAGCCCCGAACTTAAGACAGACGATTTCGCAAAAAAGTGGCGCAACAAGGCACGCGAGGTGCTCATCGACAACGAGCACCGCCGGCGGCGGCAGATGAAGGCGCAGATGCAGGAGGAGGGCCGCGAGCAGAAGAAGGAGGAGGAGGAGATTGAGCAGCGGAAGCGCAAGAGACAGCACGAGCAGGACTGGGAGGCGACGCGGGACCAGCGCATCAGCAGCTGGCGGGATTTCCAAAAGGGCAAGTCGGGCGACGGGAAGAAGAAGAAGAAGATGAAGCCCATTGGCTGAGTCTAGATCACGAAAGGGGCTCCATGGGTTTGCACTTTTTTTCTTCTTTCTTATTTACAGGCGGAAGGGTGTTTTAAGGGGGCATTTTTCACTACAGCTCGACAGGCCTCGACTACGGATTCTCGGGCACAACAAGCATGCATACAGCATGGTTATTTCAACGAACCAGTGAGTTTGTTACTGACCACCGCGGTTATGTCCCTAACTATGTCAGAAGTGCAATGCTCGTGTCTCTCCCCAAAAAAAACCTCTCACACCCTTTCGAGGGCTTTTGTCTACCAGGTAAGCACCACTCCCTCCCGTTCGTTGCATCGTGGCTATGATTGCTTCATCATTCCAAAAACATGTACTTTTGACACTTCAACACACCCGTCTTTGGGACGCTTCGTGATATGCTAGAATCCAGAAGTCGCCCATCCATCTTCTTCGGCATTTCGTATCCAGTCCCAATGTCCTCATGCCTTGTTCTTCTTCTTATACTGGATGAAGCGTCCGAGGTTCAACACAGCCTCCTCGGTGCGAGTGCGCAGCTCGGGGTGGGTTCGCTTATCGATCGTCTTCACCAAAGCCTTGACCTTGGGCTGAGCCGCCTCGAGGTGCTGAATGAAGTTGTCCTTCCAGAACACCTCCTTATCGCATGCCATGTCTTCGTCTCCGTAGATGTCGAACACCTGGTTCAGGGCCTCGACGGCGTCCGCAGCCGGGGTTTCTGGCAGGGAGTTGACCACCGTGATCAGGAACACGCCTATCTCTCTGTTGAGCGCGACGGGTGCGGGGTCCCGGGCCAGCTGGCCTAGAACACCGATGCACTTGACGCCGAGACCTTGGAAGGGGTCTTCGGTTTCCTCGTCCTTTGACTTTTCCCCGTTTGCTGCGCCGGTAGCCGCCTCCTTTTGAGGGAGGTTCTTGGTAGCGTGGTACAGCGCCATGAACTTGTTGTGCTCGTCGCCGCCAAGGGGTAAGCGTCTGGGCAAGCTGCGGGAAACGGCCCACGCGAGGCTGGTGACCTTTGTCGCCAGCTCGACGTCGGCGGTGTTGGCTGCCAGGATGGGGGCGATGACCTTTCCCCAGATGGCCTTGCCCGAGGGCGCCCACGCCTTGAGGATGCCTGCGTTGTGGTCGTCGGAGAAGTCAAAGACGGAAATGGACCAGGCGATGTTGCTTAGGGCGGCCAGGGCATGCGCTTGCACCCGGACGTCGCCCTCTGATTGTGATGATGGGGTTGCGAGGCTGATGAGCTGCGGGATGGCCTGCTGTACCAGCTCGCGCAGGGTGGGTAGGTCGTCCATGCTCGCCTCCTCCTCGACGTCATCGTCGGCGCCGGTCACGAGGTCCATGTCGGCCTGCATCTCGTCTTCGTCCATGGAGTCGTCGTCGTCGTCGTCGTCTCCTTCACCAATATTCTCGTCGCCGGAGCCGTTCTCCTTGATGTCCTCGTCCATCGCGGTGTCGTCGTCTTCAATTCCGTTCCACTCCTCCTTGACTTTTTTGCTGTCACCCCCCTGTAGAGACTGCTGCAGTGTTGTTCCAACATCGGCCAGGATCTCCAAGGCAAGTTGAAGGACCTCGGTCGGGTTAGACCATTGGCTCTTGGGTGGCAAATCGGTATCTTGCTTGGTATTCTTGAGTGCCGACGACAATGTCGGGATGAGAGAGGCGTCAGAGAGGTCCTTGGGTCCCGGCGTGCTGTCGAACCAGTGTAAGGTGGTGAAGATGTTGTGCAAAACGCCACAGGCCAGGACGCCCTTTGCGCCAGCGACCCCTTGCAGCTTGGTCAACGCCGTCAGGGGCTTCGGGCTCTCGTCTGCGACGACATCCTGCGCCAGGCGTTGATTGTCTTCGGACAAGGTCAGGAGGGCAGAGAGAGAGTCGAGGCAGATGCTTGACGGTGTATCGGGGTGGGCGACGACGGTGAAGAGCAGGTGCTTGATGCCCTCGATGCTGACAATGGCCTCGAGAACCTCATCCTGCGCCTCGGCGAGGGCAGACAAAAGGCCAATGACAGACTCGGTGATGGCCCAGGTGACCTTTGATTCACCCTTGCTCAGAGATGAACCCTTTGCGAGGTTTTGGAGAATCTGAGTTATAGTCAGCACCGCACTCGTTCTTGTTAGTGGTTGAACAGCGTAATGACTTACAGTCTGAGAAGCAAAGCCGATAGCGCTCAGGACATCCTGACGGTAAAGGTGAATGCAAAAGTCGGCCTCCTCCTCCTCGGCGAGGACCCTCAAGATGTCCCAGCCGGCAGCGCGACTGTCGAGGCTCGCATCGGTGAGAGTCTCATTGAGAACGATGTGAACAATCTGCTCGCGCAACAGCAGCTTCCGGCACTTTTCATTGGAGACGAGGTTGGAGACAGCCTCAGCGGCGGCGGTGCGCGACTTGGTCTCAGAGCTCTGCAGGTCCTTGATGACGGGCAAAATGGACTTTTCCCTGAGGGCGGCGAGCTCGGGGTCGGAGGGCGGCTTGACGGTTTTGGCGATGGGGTCCTTGCGATGGCTTTGGCCGCCTCTGTTTCGTCTTGACTTTCCCATGTTTGCGTGGTTTTAAATTCCGTGATTGCAATAACGGATGAGGATATACTGTGTTATAAGGAGAATAAGAATGAGAAAGTCTGATTTTCGGAATGGCTTCTTATTCGGGATTCGACCAATGTTCGTGACCGACCCTATCAAAGTCTCATTACTTCACTTCCTCAAAAAAAATAAAGTGACGAAAAAAAAAATTCAAAAAAGGCGTTGCTACGGGCAGCCACACTGTGGCTCGGGTTCCCGCCCGGCGCCCCGCATCCGCCGATCGCCAATCACCACCATCGGTACGTATCCCTCTCCCGTTCGTTCCTCACGCTGACAACTTGACTGTGGAACAAAAGGACTGACGGGAGGAGCACGGCAGGGATGGCACCTCAGCGCGGGTAGACAGACCGACGAATCGACGATTGAGTGAGAGAGTCCGGGCCGGTAGCCGTGCGGTAAAGTACCTAATGTAGGGCACCTTTCCCCGCCCGCTGGCTAGGTGCGCCACGCTAAGGTCAGGAACAGTACATTGCGTCCCCAACCTTGTGAGACACCAGAAGATGGGAGACGTCCAAGAGTTTTGGCAGTTGCTGATGGAACTCAGTGATGGATGACATTGCTGTCACACGCTCTTCCTTGCTTGGGACACCACCAGACGGACGCCAAGCCGGACACTTTAAACACCTTTTCTCAACGGTCCCCTTAATGGGCCTAACTTGATGCCACATTGCCCGGCGTCTGTCTTTGTATTCGTACACGGTCCAGCACCACAGCTGTACGCAACGACGCAGCAGTTTACGGATCCCCCGCTCGCTCTCGCTTGGTCGCTCGCACCGCACACATCCCCGACGCATACGACCGTGACCGCCACACCTCGAGTCCTTATCAACCTTTCTTCGTCACCACCACCATCATCCAAAGCAGAAGGAAGGGCAAAAGCTTCGAGGTCGTCGCCCCCCCAGGCCCGTCCTCCTCATCCTCCGGGCCACGTCCGGCATAGCTCCACAGATCCACCGCCCATTACCCACCAAGCTCGCGTCTGTGACATTGCACCACGGTGCACAGCCCAGCTGGCGCAGACAACCCTGGACCTCAAATCTCTGGTCCAGGTCTGGCCCGTCTGGGTCATCAATTGCCGGGGGAACGACGGGGAAGCGCATGGGAAAAAGGGACCACTTGTTGTTTCCCACCTTGCGCCAGCTTTCCTACGCATCGCCTCTCACGGCATCTCTCGTCCCATCCCGTCCCATCTGATCCCTCAGCTCCTCCCCCCTCCTCCGCTCACCTCCAACTCTGCATCTGGAGTTCTCCAACCGATACGTAACCAGCTCCTCTACCTCGACGGGAAGATGTGAGACGCCCGACCCTCGGATCACCGCCCCCTCCCTTGCAACTTTCAGTCATTTTTTTGGTGAACGTGTATTGTCTACGCTTCGTCTTACCTTCGCTTCCTCGACTCCCTTGCCTTTCTCACTTTCTCTCTCTCTTCTTCCTTTTTATCTGTCCTCAGGCCCATCGCTGCAACTCCGTCCCTCCCAGATAGAGAAGCATGCCGAGTCCATGGCGCCAACTCCGCTCCTACATTTTCCTCAGCGATGAAGAGATGGGGAAGAAGGACGACGACCACCACCGCCCCGGCAGCAGCGCCATCAAGAACCCCATGCTGCTTCGAAACAGGAACCCCCAATGGCAGCCCGCCGCCAAGATGCCCTCCCGCCGCCTCTTCAGACGCGTTGCCTACCTCCTCGTTATTGCCGCCGGCCTCTGGTACCTGCTCAGCGACCTCTCCCTCGGTTTCGGTCAACGACCCCCGAACTACATCTACCCGTATCCCGAAGACGCCTCCCCGTCCCGCGACGCCACGTCACGAAAGCCCGGCCGACTCGCCCAGGGTCAACCCCTTCCGCCGGCCGCAGAACACGACTACAACGGCCCCGTCAAGTTCCACCGTCTCGCAAACTCGTTACACGCCATTGCTGCTACCAAGGGCAGCCAGCCCATTAACCAGAATGTCCTCTTCGCCGCCTCCAATTTGCACAGCCTCTCGAACTTGCTACCGTTCGCATGCAAGATGGGAACCGAGCTCAGGAGCTACGTGCACTTCGCAGTCATGAGCAGGAGCGACATCAACCTGGACGAGCTCAAGAAGATCAATGGCGTGGACGATACCTGCTACATCATCTGGCACGATGCCCGAGCCGACTTCTCGCCCCTCTCGACCGACGCCCGACTCGAACAATCCGCGATTCGCGCGCTGCGACACATCACCACATACATGCACCCTCAAGCTGTTATAATCGACGGCTCCGATGAAGAATACGTGCCCTTCACGAAGGGCATGCGCGACGAGACGGGCCGGCTCAGGACCCCGCTCATCGAGCTTCCCGGGGGCGCCTGGATGCAACTTTCTTGGTTATCGAAGCTCGACAGCGCTTCGCTGGCGGCTTGGAACCAGGTCAGCATCGACATCCTGATCCAGGCCCCGGCGAGCGGCTCCGGCAGCCTGCTGCGGCTGCTCAAGTCTCTCAACGACGCCGACTTCACCGCTTTCTCGATTCCTCATCTCACCATTGAACTGCCCCAAGATATCGAACCGGCGACGGCCAAGTTCCTCGAGACGTTCCGCTGGCCGCCGCCACACGTGCATAACCCTGGGCGCGTGCAGATGCTCTCCCTGAGGCATAGAATCCCGCGACAGCGGATGACAGAGGAGGAGAGCTCCATCCGATTCCTCGAGTCTTTCTGGCCAACGACGCCAAAGTACTCCCATATTCTAGTTCTCTCACCACAGGCGGAGCTTGCGCCGGGTTTCTTTCACTGTAGGCGTATTGCGTTTCACAAGTATCAAAGCGTTCACCTAACATTCTTTAGACCTCAAGTATACAGTCCTGGAATACCGCTACTCCCGCCTGACAACTCTTCAGAAATGGGACCAACGTCTGCTCGGCATCAGCATGACCACGCCTTCTATGTACCTCAATGGCAAGAAGGGATTCATCGAGCCGACGGCAGAAGGAAATGAAGATCCCGGAACATCCTACTTGTGGCAAGCTCCCAACAGCAACGCCATCCTCTTCTTCGGTGACAGGTGGATCGAGTTGCATGGCCTCGTATCGCAAGTCGACGCGCTGCAATACGCGCGCGGCGCCGAGCCGTCGCCGGCGCTGATTGCGGAAAAGCAGGTCAGCAAGATGTTCCCCTCCTGGCTCGAACACGTACTGCGCCTCTCTCGGTTGAGGGGCTACTTCACGCTGTACCCCAGCGCGGAGACGGCCGCCACGATCGCGACGGTGCATCAGGAGCTCTACCAACCCCCCGAGGAGTACGAGAAGGAAGGCGGGGAGGGCAAGAGGACAGCGAGCCTCTCGGAGTCGAGGTTCGGCCCCGGGTCCCTGGTGCAGACGATGGACACGCTGCCGAATAATGGCAGCCTCAGGCCGGCCAACGATCTTCCGCTGCTCGGCTGGGAGGGCGAGGGCACGAACTTGAGGCACATATATCAAATGGCGGTGGAGTACATGTTTACGTGGCGCGAGCAGGTCGGCGGCTGCAGCAAAGAAGAGTCCCAGCGGGATCACGTGGACGGGTCCGCGAGGGATTTGTTTTGCACGCCCGATGGTAGACTCAAGGGTTGATTGAGAGAGTGATACATGCGAAGGAAACTTAAAACCCCGTTGGCAACGGGGCGAGAGAAATTTATGCCCAGTGTATACTACATAGACTTTTTATATACCCACGGGATGGATGTGAAATTAGTACGGACTGACGACATGGCGCGACGAAGACAAAGGCACAACGGGCGGGATACAAATAGGCGAATGAGAATTTTGCAGTGTTTACATTTATTTCAAAACGGGTCCGATGGCATAAGCTGCTGCTGTGGTATTGGAAGAGTTTTGGGAGTTGGCAGAGATCTTTGTGACGACGAGTAAGACGACGCATGTGCCGACGATGCTGAGAGCCACCACGGCGAGGACCTAGGACATTCGCGTCAATATCAAGGCAATTGTAAAGGTCGTTGTGTGGACATGAGGCAGGGGTGAGAAGACTTACGAGCTGCGTCCTCCATCCTGTCTGCACAATGGCAGCTTTGCGACTATACTTGTTTACAGTTTCTGACATTCGAGTCAGCTTTTGCGTCCATTTCTCAACTGTCTGTAGACCCGACCCTTTGAGAAAGAAGAGAGAGAGAGAAGGGGGGGGTTCACTAATGTAGTTCCCAATGCCGAGACACAGACACGCGACGGCTAGGATCCAGAAGATGATGCCGAGGGGTTTGGCCATGCGCAGCTCGAGCTGGCTGGGCTCGGATTTCAGGTGAAAGGAGAGGACGATTGCGACGGCGACGATGGACATGTAGACTGAGAGGCGCAGGTAGCTGAGGAATGCTGCGAGTGGTACATGGTGAAAGGTTAGTTCAAGTCACTTCTCGCTACCTATGTTCGATTGCAGAGCTGAGGAGGAGGAGGAGAGATGTTTGACGTACTCCTCTCATTCGCGCAGTGGTCGCGCGCGTCGCTGGTCTCGTTTTGGAAGAGGAGCGGGCCAAAGATGGGCCAGGCGAGGAAGGTTGACCTCCCTGCGTGACCTGAGCCGCTGTTTTATCATCAGGTGTCAGTTGGGAGGACGTGGTTCATGGATGGCATTGAGTTCAGAAAAGACAGAGGTGGGTGTCTTAATTTACCCCAGGTCGCCGGCATCGATGGGTCTCAGTAACTCGGAGGGACGAAGAGGCGCGCAGCAGTGGAAGGTCAAGTCTTCATCGTCCAAGTCGGGTCTCGAAGCCATTGTGTTATAATTCTGGGTCAATTGAGTTGGGCTCAGTTACCAGATTGAAGACTCTGAGCGTAAGTGACGTTGCTGTGAGGTGGAGGTGAGTAGTGCACTTGGAAGTCTGGGCAACCCGGATTTGATCACAAGCGCCATGTATGGTGTGATTTGGATACTGTGCAGTGACGGGGTGCGCTGAAGCGACAGAAGCTTTAGTAGTATTGTTTGATGCCGGTGCGGACACTGTACGGCAACGGCGATCGGCGGTCGGGCTCCACTTCGGCTCAACCGACTTACACTCTACCCGATCTCGCCGGGGTTTCGTGGAACATCTCCTGCTCTTCGGTATTTGTTCCATTCGGTATTAGTGGAGCAATTCAACACTGTATGGCTTCGCCAAGTTCTAAAGTCAACCCACTCCTCTTTTCCTCAGATTTCACAACCTTCCATTCAATGTTGGAGGACTTTGAGTCTTCTTCGCTCCGCACGAGGACTTCATCGGGTCATTCACCCAGGAACAATAGGATATCCAGATGTGGACCGCCGCCAGCGCCGTGGTCAGGATTCCAAGGATGGCCGCCACGATGCACGGGTCAATGGCGCACTTGTACATATGCCGAGGCGATTTTCTTCGTTCCGCGTATCGCTCCCATCTGGTAGCCGGGGTTGGTTCGTCAACCTCTCTCAGCAGACGGGCCAGCTATTGGGCCCAGTGCGGATATTGCGTGTACAAAGCGTACAGGCCTTCGGGTGTCTCCTTATCAGCTGAAAGGCCTAAAGAATGATAGCACTGCTGAAGGAGATCCGGGTCGAGATCTTGTCGCCGCACCCATTTCTTTGGTATTCGTCAGGATTGTCCGTCACTAAAGGGGGCAAACAGGAGGTCGAGGGTTCCGAGTGTTTCCTCAAGGACTTTCGGGGGCAAGCAGCCACTGCAGCATCACTTGATAAGTGTCACATCTCTTGAAAGGGTTCTCAAAGTCAAGTCGACTTCCAGGGATATAGCTTCCGGGAAAAGATAGCTTGAATCCTCCCGGTCAGCCTTGAGGATCTCCAGGCTATGTTCGAGGAACGCTCGATGGTGGAACACCAAAAGTTTCTTGCATCCTTCTCCCCGAATCAAATAAATATGATCCGATATTGTGTCAGTTGCTTTTATATCGACTCCGGCGTTCTCGGATAGGATATGAGCACTGAGTTTCTCCATGCTGATGGACTGTTCAGGTGTTCCTCCAGCAAATACCTCTGGACAAACACGTTTGAGGAAGACTTTCAGGGTCTCTTTAGTCTTCCATTCGTAGAAATTGTAACTTCCAAGTGAGTTCGGTGCCTTCTGTCTGACATGCGGTCATGAACAACAGTCGCACAGCATATTCAAAATTGGGTCCGATGCTATCATGATCGGCTTCAGAAAGAATAGCTTCTTTTGTCGCCAAAGGATCTGCTTTGAGCTGCATGACGACTCTCCGCACTTCAACTGGATTGCACTGAGGTCTACTTGACAACCATTGATCTGCGTGGTACGTCGAAAGCCTGGCATGTCGTAAATGGTGCGTCGATGAAGCATTTTCTCCAGCGTTATTGGCCCAAATAGCATCCGCAATGCCATGCTCGGCTGGTGCGATCCAAGGGAGCTACATGACGTATTTCTTCTCATTTAGTGTGTACCAGTTTGCGACAACTTTTCAAATTCAAAGCCAACAGTGGCATGGGTGCTATTTAATTAACAAGTCACTGGCAAGGATATATTGATAGGAAATCTAACAGGCGTTCTCAGCATAAGCACGTCGGGTCGGGGTGGGGGGTGTTTCTGTTGGTGATGAGTCCGATATAGCCACTGCTCCTTGTTTACAAATGCCCTAGAATTAAATTAGTAGTAAATGTTACTTCTTGATTTGCGCATGCTAAGTTGTCGAGTCAGCCTCACTTGAATCGTGAGGTATTTAGGTAAGGCAAGGCACGTCAACATGCTCCCTGCCACTGGCCCCCGTTCTCTTTTTCATTTCCCAATTTCAAATTCATGGTCTTCTGAAATCTCACCGCCATAATTTCGCCACGTCTCGGAAACAAACAAACGCACCCACTAAGTTAACCCTAATAAAGAGCACTTCGACTTACTTGCAATCTTCTGGCATCTTGTTCGGACACATGAGACTCAAAAGGAGCCTTTCAAGGGTGATTGGGATCATTGCTCGCCCGGGATATCTCGGGCATTGCTGGTTCCGCTATCAGTAGCATGCAAACATAAGCAACGCGTATCTTTACTGAATACGATCACAATCGTTGCCTGGACTGGGTTGGAGCAGGCCGTAAGTGGCCTTGGCATCGATTAGCAAGCTCTCGATGCCGCCGACTCCTAGTGACACTCGACATCTTCAAGTCTATATCTTACTGGGGAATCTCTAGGTATGTGCTCGAACAAAAGGCCGGATTATAGCCTCCTTGGCATGGTGGTAGCGCCCTCCACTGGCTTAACTCATATCGTCTCTTCAAAACAGCTAAGGAAAAGCATCAAGAAGAGCAAAGGGTTAGCGAAAAGATGCTCTTTGATTACTAGTCTTCTCGAGAAGGGGAAATACCTCTCGTACCAGACCTCGCGCGCAGCCTACATCACATAAGTCTACAGATCTGGCACAGTATCAAGCCAAGTATTTCAAGAATTGAATCAAAAAAGGCAAATTTTTAGACAGACAGCTTTTTCGAAATTTTCTTTTGCAGGACTTGCGGCCCAAGTTGCGCAAAAGTAACAGCAATCCACATTCTGCTCTATCGGTACAGGTTCATTCTTGGAGCTGACCATCACCATTGATGTCCTCGGGGAGATACTGTAATTCGAACCGGGATTTCTTCTCCAACGTTTTCACTAGTGCTGTGTCTTGCGTTTTGTTCCTATGTCGTTGGAGTATTCGCCGTATCAGTCAACGTGATTGACTAAGCTGACTAGGATCTTGGTAAGTTTACTCTCCAGCTCCCGGACTTGTATCGAGCTAACATCGTGAAAGAGCACCCCGACCCCAACTGTAGACAAATAAGAGGCACAGTGTCTGCCAGAATACTAGCGAAGCTCATATCGAAAGCTACCTTACAGCTCACTTTGGCTTGGAGCAAGATCTGTTCTCATTTCGATGTCTCCTTTAGAATTTGAGTGGTGCTGTATACAGCTACTATGTTGGCTCATTGCGTAACAATAGTTCGACCGACACAATTTGAGCGAGCGTACATGAAGGATGCAACACAATGCTCCGAAGCTTTTGACATGGTCAAAAACATGATGCTGTTAACTCGTGCTAAGCCATCGCGGTCGAAACCATACATCAAGTCGACTGGCCACCTCTAGCATCTTTCAAATACACGATACAGTCCCTTCAGATCAGCAACCTCCAACACAGCAGCCTTCATCAATGACGTCGTCGCAACCAATCTCGCCTTGAAGGCAGGAAAGAACACATGCTCTATCGCCCAACGCACATTTCTCCGCCGCTCTACGAGCTGATCATCGACCTTGACCTGCTCGCCATTCTCATCAGCCTCCCCGCCAACCGTCGGCGGCAACTGCTCGGGCGCATAGAAAGACGCCAACTCCTTCAAGAAGGTGTCGAAACACAACTTCTCGTTCTCCCAGTTGACGCAGGGACCCAGACGCAGCAGGAAACGAGGTAGCTTGGCCATAGCGGGTGTGTAGCCCTTGATTAGTAGGGGAATGGTGAGCAGCTCGCCGGCAGGGGAGACTTCGAGCGAGAAGTACTCGGCGAGCATCTCGCGTCGCTCAATCAGTTGAGTAGCCACCTTTTCGACCACGTCTTCAACATCAAAGTCCTCCTCGGGAGACTCAATGTTGGCCTTCTCGACCTCGGCGCCGATACGGAGGATATCGCGCAGGTCAAGGGGCGGCGTGAAGCGGATCGTGCCAAAGTTACCAAAATCCGTCAGTCCGATTTGGTAGCAGTAATCGTAGCAGGCTCGACCGTAGTCAATGAGATACAACTTGACACCGCCCTGAATAGCAGCTAAACGACGGCGTTCGTCGACGACGCCGACGAATGTGTGATTCGCAAAGATTTCTGTGAGATCATTATGCATGTCTTCTCTTACCTCGGCCCGAAGCTCCTTGACGCTAGTAAGCCTCATTGGTGTGAAAGGCCTATCTACCGTTTCGTACTGAATGTGCTCCGAGGCAGACAAGGCATTCTCGTCAGCCACCACGGGTGCGCCTGCAGCCATGGCAGGGGAGGTCTTGGAGGGCGTGGCAGCCATAGCTGACGGGAGCATGCTTGTGATTTTCCGCAGGCTTGTATCGGTACGGACGAGACTATTAGAGTTCCTTCGTGGTCGTTTTGAGCCCGCCGTTTCTCTTGCGGGCGTTGATGGGGTGCCCTCACCGTGGGCCTGAGGGGATATATCCATCAGCTGGGCAACCGGAAGCAAGCTCTGTGTCAAGAAGGTGCGACTCGTGTCGACCTCTGCGAGCTTGGAACGAATATGCTCGCATATTGACTGGATGACATCATCTTCATTCAGGAAATGCACTTCTTGCTTCGTAGGATGAACGTTGACATCGACACGGGCAGGGTCAATCTCGAGGCTTAGATAGATGAATGGCCGGCCGCCCTTGGGTAAAAATGAGGCGTACAGCTGCTCGAGTGCTTTCTTTATGCTGGTCGACTCGACACATCGGTGATTGATGAATAGGAGAAAGGTGGTTTTCTTGATGTTGTAATTGGCGTTCGTAGCCCATCCGGTAGCCTTGAAGCCCCAACGGTCTTCAGATGTTGAGAACTGCATCAATTCGTTGGCAACACTAGAGCCGTAGATCTGTCGTATACGATCGATTTCAGTTGCAGTGGCTTGGACAGACACACTGGTGCCTGATTCGCCGTGCTTCTTACAAGAGAAGCCCACTCCCTTACAGTGGATGGCGTAACGCCCAACAATGTCGATGATCTTGTTGTACTCCTCAGCAGGCGACCTGAAAGCTCTTCGACGTGTTGGTATATTATAAAACATGTCTTCGACACTGATTTGGGTGCCCTGGCGGCCGGCGGTGGGCCTGGGGTCGGCCGACTGGCCGGGCTTCGCAGGAGCCAGCTTGCCATCGAGGTATGTGGCACGCCATGCGCAATTTGAGTCCTCGGTCTTGGTGGTCACTGTAAGATGGGCGACGTGACTTATGCTTGCTAGTGCTTCGCCTCGGAAGCCATAAGTGGCAATGGAGGTAAGATCCTCGAACGCGGTGATCTTGGAGGTCGTATGACGCTCGCAAAGGATCTCCATGTCGTCTCTCTTCAAAAGAGTCAGAAAGGCAGATAGCTCTATGGAGAGGACGTATGCCGCCGTATCATACCTGGATACCGCAGCCATTATCGGTGATTTGCAGGAGTTTGAGGCCGCCTTCCTTGATCAATACCTCGAGGGCAGTGGCGCCAGCATCAACGGAGTTCTCGATCAATTCTTTCAGGGCATTGACGGGGGCGACAATAATCTCCCCTGCGGCGATTTTGTTGACTACATTTTGGTCGAGTGCCTGCCCTTGTATGTCAGAGTTGTAGGACGCCAAGTGAGGCGGCAATTGCAACTCACGCGGATGCGACGGGGCCCTTGACTTTCGTCTGGGCCTTGGTCTTCCTCCGCTTTCCGCTTCGTGCCAGCGGAGGGGACGGAACCGACATCCATGGTGTCAGGTGTGGTCGTCTAAGATGCAGAACAGGTTCAATGTTGCGCAATGCTGCGAATGACCAGTGCGGGGCGGTCTTAGGTAACACCAACGAAGTGAGACGAGAGGGCAGCTCAAAAGAGGTGCATTCTCATCAACAGCCGCCTTGGTCGAGCAGCCTTGGATGCCTGCGCAGAAGTATGCCGGAGATGTCTACCTAAACTAGGGAAGAACACTGTGCATGTAGGGATTGAGGCACATCAAGTTAGGGTGTGCTCTGGCAAGTACACAGGTAATCAAAGGGAGAGGCGAGAGTGCCGACTGCCAGCCGGGTTCGACACTCAACCAGAAAAAAGGATTGATGTCGCGACTGCTGGGCCCACTGCCCTGGAAATTGGCGCGTCTTCACGTGAGCACATGTTGAGTCAGCAAGTTAGGATCACTTAAAGATTTTCCCAAGAGGTAATACCCCGTACGGATACCGCACCTCAGCGAAGGTACTCCGTAAGGTAGGGTACCTAGGCAAGGTACCACCTTCCTCACCTAGGTAGGTAGGGAGGCGCCGTCCACATCCACCACCGTCTGGGTTGCTACAACAATGCGCATCCTGAAACGTTACAATGCCACCAGACGCAATGCTACGATTTGCAGGCTTGCGGCAATCAACTTTATGTCGTCTTGACCATTGCCCGATCAATGTGCATCTGACACGATCATGCATAATACGGCACTGAGATTACCGCTTCGGACGTTGGTATCCGTCCATCCTGATCCGATGTCGCTAGCTTACCTTCGACTTCGCAAGACTGGGACGTGGCCAAGCCATTTCTGATCCATCACCGAAGTCATGCTTCGAAGATGCTGTCCCTGGATCCGGGGCTTGTCAGTCAGCTCTTTAGGCAACTATTCCCATACCGTGGAATTCTGATGTAATTAATTGACCAGGATTCACCGAAGCCACCACCATCAACACACGTTGTGGAGGCTGTGGCGGCGTTCGACACCGAAGGTCTCTAACATTGAAGAAAATACCACCCGCTCAGCTCAACGACCACTGCATGTATCCTGGTCTGTCGAAAACGCCTCGGACGCTTGTCCGTGAGCCTGGCTTCCAAAACCTTCCGAAGAAGTTCATCCCTCGAATGGCGACTCAGACAGCGGCACACTCCGAGACAGGCCTTGACCTCGACCGGGAACGCTCTTTCTTGTTCGCTGAAGAAACTTCCAATGACACCGAGAAGAGCTGTTTTTCGCCATCACTCGCACATTCTTCCAAAGCTCCGGATACCGAAAATCCTGGCCTCATGATACTGAATCTCGCCGAGGCACCCCAAACGACGGCTCCTTACATGAAGTCAGCAAATAGGGCCTCTCGCGCACAAACCGCAACGGTTACTGCCCATAACTAAGTTCATACGTAGTAGTCGTGAGTTGAAAGCCGTGCACTTACTCGAAATCCAGCTAAAATAAAACGAGAAGCATCTAACGGTCCGCACTAGTGCCACCTCGGCATCTCTGCAGAGACTGTTATATCGGACTTTCCGAACCCTTCCTTCGGTCAATCGTCAGTCTAGCACTAAACAACTCCACGTACACTATTAGCGGCGCCTGCCATGTGCAAAGACGAACCATCAGAAGGCACAGCGGGCGACGGCGCGGCCTCGACGCGCGCCCATCTCTCTAGTGCGAGGTAAGTTGCCCCTCTGGTCCTCCCAAGCAGGCCCACCACTCCCACTACGTGCATGGTTGCAGTGTCATGTCTGACAGCGGGTCCAGCGGATGGAGCTCGAGACTACCTTCTCCGGATCCTATCATTTCGGACCCAATCGTGGCGCCCGGCCGGCGTATTCCCCGAAGCCCTCTTGCTTCGCACGCTGAGAGCTTGATGGATATGCAAATCCCTCAGCCGTCGGCATCACTTCAGGTTGGCAGGAAACGGGAAATTGATGAGGTATTTGAGGATAGCACGCCACCGTCTCCCGACAAGCTACAACGCGAGCTCGATCAGCAGCATCACGAGGCCAAGGAGGCCATCAACGCCGATCGTGGACCGGCGATGAATACTTCAGCGCCCTTAAACAGCCACACCCACTCCCAGGCCCAGGAACCAGACAGCAAGCGGCGCAAGACACTTGCCTACCGAGCCAAGCCTCCCATTCGCAGTGCTAGCCCGCGTTCCGAGGATGGCTCTGAGCATGGCCGCGAGGATGACAGCGGCCGCGAGAACACGGTCGAACGACTAGCCAGCCACAAATCAAACTCTCCAAGCAACGGTTGAGAGGCGGGCGCTTTGGTGCCGCCCACCATTGAAGCATCAACCTGTCCCATGATGCCATCCATGCAGGAACCGGACGACCTACCGCCCACCGTCCACCGGTAACGCAGCATCGCCCCTCTCTTATCAGAGTCTAGCATCCATAAGACTTTTCGGCAAACCTAACCCCCCAGCACCTCGCGTGGCTCGGGTACCTGTCCTACCTCTCGCTCACAGCAGACGGCGCCATGCCACAATGAAAAAGGCTTGCCAGCGACACAGCAGTGGAAAGAAACACTGCGTCTTGTACTGACTTCAGCAGCGAGTATTGCGAACACGGCTTGCAGTCGTCGGGCGGCGTTGATAGTTCGGCCATTTTCCCAACGTTGCGGTTTAGCGGCCGGCACCGCCACTATCCGGCGCCCCTCCCTCATTTCCTCCTCCCCACCCCCAAGTAAACGAACGGCCACAGGACCTGCCTGCCATGCGAGGCTCGTTTCGAAACAACCTTAACCATATGCGCCTTTCCCATTTTCGCTGCAAACGACCACTGTTTAGGGTGCCGAATAGTCCAATTTAGGAACCTTCGTCCCCCCTCGCTACCTCTTCGTGGTCTAGCGTGTTGGAGACATCAAGAGCGCAAAGGGGCGGATCCAGTGACAACCATGAAGATCGTTCGGCAGCGCCTCTTTTGTTTCAGGTCGACGCTCTCGAGGCCTTTTCCTTTTCGCAAACAGGAATTTCTTCTTCTCCTTCTTCCTCTCCTTCTGGCCCTCATCCTTTCTCTGCGCTACTCAAAGTCAACCAAGATTCACAGTCCGGCGCGTCATGTTTGCGCCAGATGGCGTCTGCCCCCTTCCCGGAATAGCAAATAGACAATTACAAACCCCTGCGGCGTCTTTCCGCTTTCAGCTGTTCGCATCCACCACACTTCCCAGTATGTCCATCAGGGTTTCAACTTTGGGTGGTATTCTCCGTCGCTCGGACGAATGCGAACTTATGGTGGTGTCCTCTCCCACCGGCAACCCAAAATCTCAACCATTATTACCGTCTCCTTTCTTTTCGCCAGCAAAGTACATCATGTCAAAACTTTCAATTCCCTTTCCTTTTCGCTGATCAGCTCAACGGACAAGGGTGTTGTCCATGGTGTTCAATATTGGACGAGTAAACCCACTTATCTATGCACAATGACTGAACGAAAAGCTCTTTTGGGTCACAAACAATCTGCCTAGCTCCGTCTCGGAGATTTTTCTCAACCGTAACGAGCAGCCTCACCCTGCACCTCTTCATCCCATTGCCCTGGCTGGTGCCTCGGTGGTCGGATCCACCACAAGCCCGTTTTGTTTTGTTTCGTTTCTTCATTCGTTTCCCTGTCCCTCCTTTCGGTTGGGCTTCTGGGGGGAAAATGAAGGGAGCGCGAACGATTTGACCGCGCAGAAAGAGAGACAAACGAGAGGGTTGTTCGGAGAGGCGGGGGAAGAAGACAAACATCGACCCAAGAACCCCTGAACATTACATCTTCTTCTCTCATCTCATCTCGCGAGTCCCGCTCAGTCTGTTACACTCTTACTTTGTTGGGGGATGCTGCCCACATTACGGCACACGACCGAAGGAAAGATCTGTGGAAACGTCAACGATGAAGAAATGGACAGACATGCCCATCAGCTGATGGCATGAAGGAAGCTCGCCCCCTTTATTGGGTAGGCTAAGGCTTTCACAGAAGCACAAGAGAAAATACAACCGTCGAGCCAATACAGAAGAAAGAAAGAGACGTGTGCAGCACACAGAGCTGTCAGAGATTACGACTCGAGCTAATGACAACATCAATCCATTCCGAACGTCCAAACAAGAACCATGGACCTCCCGAGCAAAACTCCCGATAATCCCTTCCCCTCTCTCCCCATCCTTCTCCTTCTCCTTACCACTCTCTTTCATCCTACACCCACTGGAAGCAGGGTTTCCTGATGAACAAGCATCTTGAGGAGAAAGCCAGTTTTACGGCTGGCGCCGAGATCTCTGGCTGCATTGTCTTCAAGGCACCCGAGAATAACCCTCGGGCGCTGAC